ACAAGTGTAACCGTCACCGGTGTAGCCATAATTACATGAGCAGGTATAGCTACCATTGGTATTGGTACAGCTAGCCGAGGAGCTGCAGTTGTTGGTTGTTTGGCATTCATCAAGATCGCTACAAGTGTAACCGTCACCGGTGTAGCCATAATTACATGAGCAGGTATAGCTACCATTGGTATTGGTACAGCTAGCCGAGGAGCTGCAGTTGTTGGTTGTTTGGCATTCATCAAGATCGCTACAAGTGTAACCGTCACCGGTGTAGCCATAATTACATGAGCAGGTATAGCTACCATTGATATTGGTACAGCTAGCTGAGGAGCTGCAGTTGTTGGTTGTTTGGCATTCATCAATATCACTACAAGTGTAACCGTCACCGGCGTAGCCATAATTACACGAGCAGGTAAAACTGCCGTTCGTGTCGGAGCATGTTGCGTGAGGACTACACGCGTTAGAGCTTTCTCTGCATTCATTGATATCTGAAAATGAAAAAAATCTACATTTGAAGGAATTTTATCCATCATCAGCTATTAAAGAAACTGTTGCAATGCCGCATGTGTTTTCGGATAAACGACAAAAATAATTGAATTATTCTTTTGATTTCATCAATGTTTTATTGCTTTAATACAAAGCAATATATTTTAGTCAGCAGATAAACAATTACTTTTTATATTCCTTAAGAAGAGTTTGATAAGGTGACGGCTATTTATTTTGTTTTCATTTAGTGTGATGATTTTAGCAAAGACAAGAAGTTTGTTGATGAAAATATTGCAAAGGGAATTTACAGATTATCTTGATGGTCAATGGGAAGATGTAGTCAACCCAATAAATGAATTGTCCGGTTATTGTGGAATTGAATAGACACAATGGTAAAAGCACTCGTTGATTCAATATCTGAGAAAAGGCGGCAACGGAATTAATAAAAAGATATATGTACATGTATTTACGTTTCTGCGCATGGTAATATATTTGAAAATAAGACACTTTCCATTCTTCGCTCGGTGTACATCGTAGTAGTAGTAGTAGCAGCAGCAGCAGTGATGGTCGTTGTAGTATTATAGTATTTTATTGAGGTATGGCCCCACAAATGTACAAATTCAGTTGATGAGAAAATGACATACTTATAAAAATACACAACATGTTTCTATGGTATTTCTCAAGGATATTATCTAACAGTAATTAAAAACACTAAAATTCTCTCTAGACTACTCTGGCTGAGTTCAAAATCATTCTATTTACGTGCTGTTTGTACGTATTATACGTCACTTACTCTGACATCCCACTGAGCTGTTCCACTTGCCGTCTGGTAGACACTCTATGGTGAATGTGGTGCTGGAATTAAACCTGTACCCGGACGCACACTCAAAGTGTACTCTTCTTAAGTCTGTCGTTGAATCGGATACTTTAATGCTGTGTTCCAACGCGGGATATGGGCACGGTAAAGCTACATAAATACACAGAAAACAATGCCTCATTACTCGTTTGCCCTCGTGTTCTTAAAGTTATACCAAGTTATAGCAGTCCGCTCCTTTTCAATAAAATGAACCTTAAAATGATATAACTTCAATTTTGATGTAAGTCATCTGGAAAAATGGAATTCCAATTTTTAAAAATATTTAACTGAGCCATTGGAATAATTTCTTACTTCCCTTCATAAACTCGTGTTCCTAAATGTACAAGTTAGAGCCGTCCGCTTCTTTTGAAGAAGGTACACATAGAAATGATACATACTGACATTTGACGTAAGATTTCTAGAAAAAGGAGAATTCCAAATTTTGATATTTTAACTGAACTATTAGGATATCTTTTTTTACTTTTGTTCTTACAATATTCGCAAATAAACTTCCTTCTATCAGACGGGTCACATTTTTGGTCATTCAAGTAATAGCCCAAGTCTTGACTAAACGCAACTATTAGGATATCTTTTTTTACTTTTGTTCTTACAATATTCGCAAATAAACTTCCTTCTATCAGACGGGTCACATTTTTGGTCATTCAAGTAATAGCCCAAGTCTTTATACAATTCTACGCAGTTGCCGTCTCCAGAAGGCTCGTTATTCGCCCATACTTCTGTGCTAACTTGTGCACCTAAAAAAGCAAAATAATAATAGAGCATTTCCCTTGTAATCAAAAGTTTCATAATTAAAGCTGAATGACAATGCATATAATTTATAATAATATCCGTAATATTTTTTGGATAGAGACACGTTTTTATTGTATAAAGTCCTCCAAGTAGAGCATGCGTGTTCCAGTTCAGAATGTAGCCTCCGTCCGGTTAGCTTCAGAACTGCGTTCCTAAAACGAATGGTTTTAAACTTCTTTTTAAAATTTATCAGTTGATATTACTTGGATCTCTGAGCAGATCCAATCAATTGAATGACGTTATAATGTGGTAGCAACGTGCTAGCCGCGTGATCCGAACGTGACGTGTTTGCTGGGTATCTCACCGCTTAGCCACCGAAATGTGCTCTCTTTTTCCTTATTCCACCATCCACCCAGCCAGTAGTTTGCCTTGTACCCTGACTTCTTAATGAATTTCACTAGGAATTCGTGGGTCTCCAAGTCATCAATTCTAGCCAGATACCCAGGGTGAACAAAAGTGTTCTGGCACATGTTCTGAGATGTGTTCCAATCATTGTTGCCTTTTATCAACAGGAAACAGGTCTTGTTTTGGAAGGTTTTTCTTGGGTAGACGGTGTTTTCGTATTTTAACTGGCTGCTGCAGGGACCGTCTATAATGTAATAAAAGTTATTTTCATTAGAAAAAATGAAGAAAATAATCTCGTTAGATTTGTACAAACGAGACAAAAGTAAAAAAAAATTAAATCTTACTTCTTTATTTTGTCTACAAAGCTGTCCTACGGTAAACATGTTACATGGTTAGATACACACTTTCACTCCATGTCACTATTTCATATTCCTATATTTCAAGTCACCTGTACAACTGTCCTTACCAAACTGGCAGACCGCCGCAGCAGGCTTCCTGTCTTCATGGTCAGTGTCCACGGTTGTCCCCTTCTCATCGTTCCAGCTGTAGTTTAACTTGTGCATCATATTAAGTGTGTTTTCACCCCCACCAATGTCATTCGGCTCACCGGGTCCCCACTTAAACCACGTGATTGGTTTGGTGGCTGAAAAAAATATGACAATTACATTTCTAATTTCTATCTTTCTCAGTGGAGAAGGAGGTCAGACATTTTAAGATTCGCCAACATCTTTCACAGTATTCACCACATTTTATCATAAAACACAGGTCAATACTAAAGGCATTCCTGCCTTGAAAGTTTATTTTTTTATGTCCTTCAACTGAAATTTAGTTAAAGATGCTCAATATCTCCTATTTCATTTTGTTCATATAGATGAACAAATTTCATTGTTATCATGACTTGGCATCGGGGACAATCCTTGAAATGCATCCTAGAAATTCAAGATTATATGGCTATTTCATTTAAAATTAGATTTAAAAAATAGTAAGGCAAGGATATTCCCATACCATTCGGATGTGATATGTCCGTGGAACAATTAACATCTCACGTTTTGTATTACTATCTGATTTTGCAAAATTAACTCATCGATGTTACTTCTTACCATTGAACCAAAACCAGCTCTTTAATTTCCTAGCCCCCACCCAGTATCCTTTATGGTTGAGACGGAGGGTGTCATTCAGATCTTGTAGAAACCCCAGGTCACCCACCGTCAGCAGCGTCGCATTTTCACTTTCGCATATTTTCATGGCATCCTTCCAATCTGTTACTTCGCTGAATTCTCTGACGCACTTATTTTTCACTTTTTTTCCACCGTGAGGACAGTCGGATGCTGCTGGAATAATAAAATGATTATAACTGTATACTTCCTTTAAGGTTTTTTAACCAAGTTCAGAGGAACAGACATTTTGTTAAAAGGATGGGTGTCAAGTGATCATTCTAAACGGATTATAACGGTTTTCAATAGAGACTAGAATATATTTCCCCTTTTATTCCCTTTAAAAGTGGATTACTACGTGTAATTTTTAATACTTCGAAAATAATTAATACACAAAAAATATATATTTATGTAATACTTACCTTCATTTATGTAAAAATATGTCATTAATATGACCACATAAAGAAGGGTAAGGCGCGGCATGGTGCAACAACTTGTAGCTTTACCTCAACAGAGATCACACATACTAGTTCATCACGGACAAAACGAACTTACAGGGCGTATCAAAATGCACGATCTTTGTGATCAGTCGTTAAAATTGAAGTTGACCACTCTTTGGTTTATTTTAAGCAGTACTGGCTGAATATCATCCAGCAAAGAAGGGAAACTACCACGTGTTTTACATCTTTGGCAAAACCATACTATGAATTGTTAGGAAATTGCTGTCCTTTTACTCCATATTATAAGCATGAACTGCGGAGTTCACATTGCTTCGAACTACACTGTACGAGACCGTGGGTAGAAGATAAGTAAGAGAGAGTATTAATGTGAGAAACAACTTGAGTAGATAGACGGCTCGCTCTATATCTCCACGTATCTCACACCACTCTTTGTCTGCTCGGGACTATGTCAAAGGTTATTTAGAAAAGATACAAACGATTGTAAATTATTAAAAAAAAAAGAAAAGAAAAGAAAGAAAGAAAAGAAAAGAAAGAAAAAGGACAGCTTTAACTGATGTTCCGTGATCATCACACTCTATCGGGGCATTATTCAACCTGTACCGGTAACTTGTAATGAAAAAAAAATATGTACTTTATATGGAAAACAAGCCGTAAATCTTTTCATTAATCTTTTTTCAGCTGTATTATATGAAGATGTTGAAACTTGAATAGTTGGGCTCCATAATCAGGCACAGTTCACTGATTAAATCATTTGGGAGTGGCGAGTCATTTGCTATCGCCTTATGATAGTCCCCTGATAGAGCACCGAGAGGACAGGCGGTCCATGAGAACTGAAGGCAGAGAATTGTACTTACTGTGATACTGATATCCTATTACTTTTCTTGGATGCCATCCTTTTGTTTGTACTCATTAATATAATGTTAAACATCATGCTGACAAGTAAAAAAGTCATGTCAACTCCTGTGATTTATGCTGGAGGAAAAACAGAGCTAGTGCGAACCTTTTGGCATAACGGACACATTTCTTTTCTAGTTGAAAATCTGTAGCTATACATGATTCAGTGCTTTTAATATGGTCAACAATGCACCGTGAATATCAGGTATATCAGGTAACTGTGCCTAGATGAAATTAACCAACACATTAATACATATACTTTTTGGCGAAATGCTTTTCAAAGAAATGTAATTGTAACAGGTTTGATGGTTATATTCCAACCCAAGCGCGAGTTTTAACTCCTGAGAAACACAGTGCAGTGTATTAGACTCTAATGGTCACGCATCATTGTCGTGGACTCAAGGTAAAGGGGGTAAATTATCTTAACCTAATCAGTTAAATCTAGACGCGTTATCTCGCCGTCTGACAGAGTATGAAGGGGGTTACTGACAACGAGTTAAAATGACCTTGCTCTGCAGGCAAGGTGTGCACGGTAACAACAGTATCGGTCAAACATGACCTCTTGACCTTGGCCTTGGCTGGACCAGTCTGCTGTGGACGCTGCGATGACCCATTGACTGCCCCCAACTCTTGCCACGCTCCGGCCATAAGCCTGGACAGTGTCACCTCTTACTCACGTGAAAGTCGTAAGATAAAAAATGTCACCTTGTATAATGATGGGAAATGGTAACACCAAATTTCTTGATGGTTGTTGGATTTGATAAAAACCGAAGACGGCCGTTAAATAATCATACGAACATTCTGAATAACATATTAATTTGTGCGTTTTTTTTCACTATAACTTTTTCATATAAAGAGAATACAAGTATTTCTTTAATTCAGAAATAAAAAGCCAATTTATAATCGTTTATTATCACTTCATGAAAAAAGGAATTGCCAAAAATTAATCCTACTGAGCACCTGTGGCATAAATTGGAATGTGCATTGCAGAGTAGAACCAATTCCTAAATAATCTTGACCAATTCCGCCACGCTCTTTAGGATGAATGGGACAATATCCCACATAACAGAATTATTACCCATGTTGAAGGCTTGTCCCGCTGTCTACAGGAGATAATTGCAGTACGCGGTAGACGCACGAGCTGTTAGGCACGTGGTTTTTAACGAGCACACCCTAATGCTAAATGTGTGTGAAATTGGTAACATTTGATGGCGTCTTTTCAATTTTATAGACATTTCTTTACATCTGTAGAAGTCACAGTGAAACAGTCGATTTGAGGGGGTGCCTCTTATAAATTTTACTAAATGGTATAAAATATGTATATTTTCATCACTATTTTGTATTTTTTAAACCAGTAATCATGTTAGACACGGTATCCGTAATAAAAAGCATTATTTCTAACAATTTACAGCTGTAAGGTGATCATTTGTAAATAAAAGCACATGGAAATGAGGGTGGGACAACCTTTTTGACCAATGTTGTATATTTGTGGGGAAAAATCAAAATGCCAGAGACTTTAATTTCGAATTTTATGTGAAAACATTAATTATCCCTACCAATGCCTATACCATTCTAATGAATTATTTCATAAACAAGGGTCTCCACACCTGGCAGTACTAGTAGGTCAAAATAATTGTGGTATTATCGTGTTTTATATAAATGTTTTATTTCATTTTCAGAATAAATATATATGCGAATCCGTTCATAATAATTAATTTTCACAGAAAAACCTCCGTGTTTCATTATTACATCTTGAAATTTCACGTTCTTTAGTTCATTTTGGTAATATATCGACAATATTAACATAAACATGCCAAAAAGTTTGTGTCAATTGTGCACAGCATACAAGCAAAACTTTTTGATTATTGCAACTGACAAAAACTAATGATGTTACCCATAAAAAAAAGCAAAAAGGAGCAGCTGCAGTTCCCCCTGGGTAGATCTTTTTCACACCCCTTATTTTGAATGGGGGTGGGGCATTTTATAAATATCACACATACAACAATGCATAGATTCCCACGTCATAAACATGTGCCTACAGACATGTATTTTCATTGCCCTTATTGCAAGGTTGGCAAAAGAATTGGAGTTTCACTTCTACTAATGTTTAAAAAAGTCTTGGTGACAAATACCATTTTCCTCCCTCCTCCGCTCCCTCATTCATGTCTCGGCAACAGTACACAGACACATTGTATTAGTTTGTAGAAGCTGGTATTTAAGTTTCCTTTGTACAAGGAGTTAACACAGATAGCTATCTTCCCAATAGATATCACTTTGATAAAAATCGTGCATGTATCTGTAGGCCGTATCGTTAGTCATCTAGTACGACTTTTCACCTAGTTTTAGCTGGAATGAGTATTCAGATCTAAAAGAAGAAAATACAAAATAATGTCAGCTCAGACAAAGCATATATCGAAAACTAGGCAGGAAACATCACAATCAAAAATACACTTTGCATCTGTTTTTCGAAAACCCACGGAACAATAATTGCATGGTTTGCAATTTTTCCTTACTTCAGTCAGGGGCTCTCACAATACCCTAAAATCGAGATTTCATACATGAATATCTTAGTAAATACAACCATAACTGAAATAGAAATTATTTAAGCCTACCTGGATAGACTCATGCCAGTTTTAAGGCACCCCGGGGGCTACTGTCTCTATGGACAACCCAGCGGTCGTATTCTGGAACTGGCTGACTGTCGGTGACGGCATAGAGTCTTCTAGAAAGGGACGGGAGCCTAATGGAAACAATTTAAAAAAAGGTTAAAAAAAGCCCCTGGTGCACTAATATTGTGTTTGTTATGAATCGCAAATGCCTTTCATTACATTCTGGCCTCACTTTTGATGTGAAAGTAAAAATCGGCGTCTCTTTGCAACCCCGCAAATTGAAATGTGTGCACTATTTGTTTCGAAATTATATACTGACTGTAGATTTTTAGGGCGCGAACATTACGTAAATATCCTTACTCAACATTATTCAATGTTACATTAAACTACTCCCCTTCTTTTATCAGAGGGACATTCAATAAATGCGGCCGTCATCGGCCAAATTTCGAATATCAAACACGCCGCTTGTTTATGGTATATCATACCTAAGGTTTTATTAGCATAAGTTCTGCAACCTTTTGTCTACTGACTCTTATATATTTTCCTTAATACATGTACGATTTCGCTTTATTTTAAATGGATATCATACTGAAAATAGCTTGATAATCCTGTTTACTTGAAACGAGTTTTGCAGAGTTGGTAACCTTGATATTATATGTTTTTGCATGTTTTCAAAACATTTGCTTCTTTTTCGAAGTAGCCGTACACGCACAGGCCCGTTTGTTCGATCTCAATGTGTTGGCAGTCATATTATCACTGCGATATCTGTATCGTTTAATAGTAAACCACAGATAGTGTATGTGCCTGTCAAATACCGGGGGCCTGGTGATATGAGGTAGCACGTCCCTGAAACATGTCCACAGGTGCACGTGGACCAGCTCCAGTACACAGTGCCTCCGCCACACATGGCTTGTCGACTTCTTGGCAATGGTTACAGCCACCTTTTTTGTACAAAGTAGGTCTCACAAAATAATTGAAGACCGAAAATTGGTGTCTACTTTGGTGCCGAAATATTAAGTCTGCTGTGATTCAAAACGCGTTGAAACCAGTACCAGGCAAACAGTTACACATTCCCTGGCCGTGTTTAGGTAGTTTGGGCCCAGGGACAAATTTAAGACACTAAAACAAACTGGCGCGGATTAATAAACCATGTACATGTTATAATAATAACTTGTCCTGTAGTTCGTCCCTTGTTTTCCCCCTCTCAACACTGCTCTACAAGACTACATCCCAACCATCTCCTAGTTTTTTCGGACTGTGAGTGTTTCATACATCTGATCAAGAGAAAATCAAATCGGTCGCCTGTTAGCCATTAATCAGTTCTGGTCTGTCTAAGACCCCATTCCCAGAGATTAGATCGATCCAAACTAGATCGACCTAACTCCCTGGGGGTTCACGCTAAATAACTGTCAGCCGAGCGGGCACGAAAGTTAATTACCCCCTTACAGCTTGTAGTAGGCGGGACGGACATTTAAGCCGGATTATCTGACAGTAATCTAGTGAGACTCCCCACGGGGATAGATCTATCTAAATGTCTGGGAATACGCCCTAAGGTGTACATTACCTTGAAAAGCTTTCATTACTGTGTTGACAGGTGACGTGGTCTCCTGTTCGCTGTCAGGTGTCACGTTATACGTGGGGTTCTCTACAGTGGTGTAGATACTCTCTGTGTGGCAGCCATCCCCAGGTTTCCTTTTGCTGTGGAATTACATGTAATAAAACGCATATGTATAGCGAGGAGGTATTACAAAAAAAGTAGCAATCATGACAGAGATATAATGTTTTTTAATACGCCTCTTTAGATCTAAATAGATTTAAGATTTAGATTTAAATAGAAATATTATAAACTAGCCCCTCAGAAATGAATTAATTGATAAGCGATATTTACTTTTGCAGAAAACCCATTTAATTTCTGAAAGTCTCGTTCAGATGTTATTTACTGGGAAAGCGCGTGCATCATTTTTATTGCCGGGATCACTGTAGTTACCTGTGTTTCCTGTATATGACCCAGGCCAGAGAGAGAACAATGACCAGCAGAACCCCAGGGACTCCAAATGTCACCAACAGCTGCCGAACTGAAACCAAATGTAGACGCAGTACTCAGAAAAACTATTACTAGAATCTCGAGATCATGATCAATTGCTACAATGATAAAAATGATCAGATAACCCTTAGGTAACATGATTTTATTGAATTTAAATTAATGCGTACTTCAATCTGTTAATTCGTCGATCTAATCACACTCCGTTGAGGTTAAGCTCCAACCAAGTGACCTTTATACATTCCAAACGTTCTCCACGGAGAAAACCTACCCTTAGATACATCTTGCGTTCTGACGGAAGCAAATGCGTCTTCGTTTATTACCGAAGTGGTTCCATTTACCTCGACTGAAATAAACACACATTTGATGAGATTTATGACAGCCTAGCAATTTATACCAGGTTACTACGCACGACTCATTGATATTTGTACGTAATAATTAACACTTTGTGCTTGCTTTTCTTGATACTTTAATGCCTGAACATGTTCAATCACAGGCCGCATTCAAAACAGCGGACTAACTAGTCCGCGGATCAAATATGTCTGGTCCACTTGAATGCTTGTCTCGTAATTCCGGTAAATCTATTCAGTGTCTATTAGGGGATAAGGCGGCAAGCTTTTAAGGGGGGGGGTCGCCATATTTGATCCTCGGACTAATTAGTCCGCTGTTGTGAATGCGGTCACAATCACATATCTGTATTTGAGTAAAATAAGCTGGAGCGTCCATACCGGCAGTCAATGATATCGTAGTTCTCTCATCTGTCCTGGTGCTTGTGGAGTTTACTGGGAAATAAAGAAAATATACGATTCATATAAGATAAATAAATGTGAACTTTCAGGTTACTTTCCCGAGACCCTAGAAATCTCCTTTATTACCAAAAAACTACATGTAAATCTATACTCTAAACTGAGGATCTAAAGTGTATTTTGATATTATATATTAATGTTTTCATAGAGTGGCAAATGAATTGTACGAGTGTATGTTGTATAAATCACTTTTTAAACAGAAGCAATGCGATTTTTTAACTTTTAAATAAAAATACGTGACAAAGAAGGCAAATATCATTTAAGAACATCATTATAAAAACCAACCAACAAACAAAATAATAAATAAATAAATAAGAATTAAGCCCTAGCTTTTGAAACAAACGACCTACTGCTACATATGTGCCCATCTCCTATGAAACCACGTTGACAGGTGCAGGTATAGTCACCATTGGTATTGGTACAGCTAGCTGCGGAGCTGCAGTTGTTGGTTGTTTGGCATTCATCAATATCATTACAGTTATAGCCATCACCGGTGTAGCCAGACTTACAAGAGCAGGTATAGCCACCATTGGTATTGGTACAACTAGCTGAGGAGCTGCAGTTGTTGGTTGTTTGGCATTCATCAATATCATTACAGTTGTAGCCATCACCGGTGAAGCCAGAATTACAAGAGCAGGTATAGCCACTGTTGGTATTGGTACAGCTAGCTGCGGAGCTGCAGTTGTTGGTTGTTTGGCATTCATCAATATCATTACAGTTGTAGCCATCACCGGTGAAGCCAGAATTACAAGAGCAGGCATACCCACCGTTGGTATTGGTACAACTAGCTGAGGAGCTGCAGGTGTTGGTTGTTTTGCATTCATCAATATCATTACAGTTGTAGCCATCACCGGTGTACCCAGAATTACAAGAGCAGGTATAGCCACCGTTGGTATTGGTACAGCTAGCTGCAGAGCTGCAGTTGTTGGTTGTTTGNAAGGGGCTACTTAGTTGCAGGGGCTGTGTTGTTTTTCTGAGGAAACGTTCAATTGACATCAATTAATATTGAACACAGTTTCAAATTTAAAAGTACTCGTTTCGTCTCGTTAAACATCCAGTAGGGATCGGTAGAGTCTGGGGAATAATTAAGTTATATACGTTGTTTCAAGGCATACATACTCTGACATCCCACTGAGCTGTTCCACCTGCCGTTTGGAAAACATTCTATGGTGAATGAGGTGCTGGAATTAAACCTGTACCCGGGCGCACACACAAAGTGCGCTCTTCTTAAGTCGGTCGTTGACTCGAATACTTTGATGCTGTGTTCCATCGCGGGGTCTGGGCACGGTAAAGCTGAAAGAAAACAATAAAATTTCATGGACTATTTTTCTATTTTCCCCTGTTTGTAAATGTAACGTTCGCCCATCTTTTGCTTGAGTATATCAACTGTTTGCCCAGTAAAAAAAATTTCAAGTCATTCTAGAAGTTTTCAAGTCATTCTAGAAGAAGTTTTTTATTATACATCAAACCCCCTATCCCCGGTATCGTTTCTTCAGAACCGTCACACAATAAAGTTGATCTTGATACTGATCTGCATACCGTATTCACAAAGAAAATGTTTGCCAGAATGGTCACAGTTCTGAGCCCACAGGGAATAGTTTGAGGTCTTCACTATCTGTGCACATTCCCCAGTAGCAGACGACTGGTTTGTCGCCCACAGATCATCTTCTACAGATGCACCTAAATAACAATATCATTAATTCAGTTTTGAATTCAATAAAATAAGAATCCATATAATTAGAAATGAAGTATAATTCACTTATTTCCTGATAATTATGTGATTTGTTTCTTAAAAGTACCCCTGGGAGAAAGGTTGTCAAAACTGTTGCCAAGGGACACCTGCTATCTTTTGGCACTGTATGTGGTGTTTGAAATAAGGAATGGGATCAAGTGAAGTGTGAAAACAGCTTAAATATATATGTGCTATTAACAATTCCTTGTGATGTATATATCTAGAATTAAATTTATTATTTTTCTTTTGCAATTTGATAAAGAAATATAAACAGAATTTATATGTGCCACTACATTCAGCCTATATTGACAAAATTTACCATTCAGCCACCAGAAGATGCTCTTCTTGTTCCGGTTCCACCATCCACCCAGCCAGTAATTAGCACTGTACCCTGACTCATTAATGAATTTCACCAGGAATTCGTGGGTCTCCAAGTCATCAATTCTAGCCAGATTCCCAGGGTGACCAAATGTGTTCTGGCACATGTTCTGAGATGTGTTCCAGTCATTGTTGCTTTTTATCAACAGGAAACAGGTCTTGTTTTGGAAGGTTGTTCTTGGGTAAGTGTCATTTTCGTGTTTTATCCGGCTGTTGCATGGACCAACTGTAAGAGTTTAACACATTACCTCAAAACGATCGAGATATCTTGGCACAGATTTGCACGTGATACATGTAACTATTTGATGAAACCCTCCAATTTGCCTTAAATTGAAAGGTCTCGCCCACAGTGCACTATGCGTCTATTTAGAATAAAACTGCATATTTTCAGAACTTATGTTATGAATAGCTCATCCATTGAAAAAATCTTGCAAGTGACGCACAGAAGCAATTTTAACAAAATTGGGAAATCTTGGAACGATCTATGATATATGCTTGAACAATTATAATTTGAAAATACAATACCTAATCTGTATACGTGTCACTGCAACACACGTGTTCTTATTCCCAACGTGTATAGTGCTCAGTGCATATAATATGATTATTATTACTTTACTTGTCGATGCCTACCAAACTGACAAATGGCCCCTGCTGGCATCCTGTATCTGTCCTCGTCATTGTCTCGTTGTATTCTGGTGTCCTGCTCGTCATTCCAGTCGTAGAAAAATTTGGACATCATGTTCAAACGATTTTCACCGCCTTTCAAGTCATTGGGCTCCCCGGGGGCCCACTTGTACCACCCTATCGGTTTTGTGTCTGGGGAACAGAAATAGCATGTAATAGTATACAATTCATGATTTAACCTGAATTTTATACTTTATACATTTATAAGTAGTTAATTAAAGACAAAAATAATACGGTAAAAATGCACGATTGAATATTTTGTCCTAAAATATAATTCTTTTCAAACCTCTTCGGTTCTTTTAAAAGATAAAATGTCGATTAATTTTAATTTTTGAAAACACCTAAGGGGGGACCTCCTTGTTAAAAAAATTCAATACAATCCAAATTTTATACAATGTTCGGAATTAGAGACGTTTAAACATTTTATTAATTTCTAACATTTTCTGCTTACCGTTCAACCAGTACCAACTCTTTAGTTTTCTCGCTCCCACCCAGTATTGTTCTTGGCTTAGGGCTGCAGTCCTGCTCAACTCCCGCAGGAAATCTATGTCTTTTACAATCAGCAAGCTGGCGTTTCGTTTCTCGCAGTTTTGCCTTGCGTCCCGCCATGTTAGTTTCTCGGCGTTCGGTACAACTAAAACACACGTGCTGCGCACTTGCACACCCCCATATGGACAAAACTGTCCTGCTGTATAAATAAATAAATGAATGAATAAATAAATGAATAAATAAAAATTAAATAAACAAATAAACGGTTCTACCCGTATATCAGCTTAATTATTTAACTGTGATTAACTTCTTTTCCTTGCGATTGTTAGAAAGAACGATTCGTTAAATCGTTATTTAAGCCATCGCCTTGCCCCCATCCCTCCATCCACCCTCACCATTTAATCCCTATCAGAGACTGGGTTCCCATACCTAGATCGATCTAACAGGATCTATCCATCTCCGAGGGGTTTCTTGCTAAATTGCTTTCAGTTTAAGCGGCTCGGATGTCTGGCACGCCTACTGAAGCCGCTAAACGATAATTAATTACCCCCTAGGCGTGACAGACATCTAAGCCGCTTAATGTAAATGCAATTTAGGGAGAATCCCCTTGGAGATAGTTCGATCCACAGTTAGTACGATAAGGTCTGGGAATGGTCCCAAAGTCTTAGAGCGTCGGTGTGCTCAGGCGGTCAAAAGAAAACCTGACTGTAATTTCACATCATATTTATAGCTAGTTGTCACACCTTTTATACTTAATCATACAAGGTGGTAATTAATCAGTTACGTAACGTACATACATGTAGGCCCTATACTATAATCGATAATAGCAAGTTGAATTTTAAACGAAAGGCGCCTTACATATTAACGCACTGATAAAGGAATGACATTTTTCTCTTTGCCGCTGATGGGTACTCCAAGAAATCTCCTTAATCTCATTTGAAATAACCCCTTACCTCCATCGATAGATCTGATGAAAATGTTTAAAACAACAACTGATACTATGTTCACAACAATTGGATTCTGCATGTTGTGGTGAACGGCTGTGTAATTGTCTAAAATGTCGGTATTTAATTACACAACTGCTGTTAGGCAATCTCCAGGCCATGTAAAACAATAGGGTTATCGGTGTAATTAAGTGATTATATGGTGATAATAATCGGGAAATCTCATGTTTGTGATTATTCAATTGTTCCCCGGCATTGTTGCGAGGCAACTCCCTACTACACGGAACAACTGTTAAAGGATATCAAGGTATATTTTGCTATCTTTTTACAGGTAGAATGGATTAAAACCAAATGTGATGCCCAAGATCTTTAAAAAATCCATTGTAGTATGTTGTTTTTATTTAAAATTTATTTTTGATACGTAGGCTTCCCATCGAGATAATGAATTTCACCCAAAGATTATAAAAGGCATTTGCTACTACGTATACAGCCCAACATTTTGTCCAAGTGGATTAATTTTTTACCAGGTGTTATTACTTTTCCCAGTTATTAAAATCACCTACACATACTGTAAGTGGCTAAGTGACTTATCAGAAATTGAAAACATTATAGACAATGAGCTCTAACAACTCCTTGTTATAGATAAGTGTGATAGTAAATATTAAAACACCAAAGTTTCAGCTGATGTAACATTTATTCATAATGTTTTACCACAGGCAGCAATTAAAAAATAAAGAAAAGAATTAATGAAAAAATAAATAAATAAAATTCCCTTTCTTTCAGATAAACCTCTCCCCTCCTCCCCCCCGCCATCTCCACGTGTGTTACATCAACGTATGTTATCCCGTACACTACAGGACCAGAGAGAATATAGTCCCAACACAGTCTTTTAAAGAAGAGGTGCACTCGGACTAAACATTATCATCGTCTACATACACCAGTACCAACATGTGTTGTGGTGATTTAGGATTAGATTAACGCATGTTTAGATCTACCTAATCTGCACTTTTAGATAGACTTCGTTTATTACCAATGAGCCGACCATATTTAAACAAAATCTCCTGGATGATAAATGTCAAGAGACAAGACAAAACGTCATAGTTCATGGGAATACACATATACTGTATGTACATTTTTACAATTTTGTTTTGGTTGAGTATTACCAAGTTTCATGACATTTAAAAAAGAATTGATTTACCTACAATGTGTCTATTATATTTAAGTATTCCACGTACGATGAATTATTCACCCCCCCCCCCAGGGTGGCCAACACTACCCACACCAACTGTTGCTACCCAGTCTCCAAGCTCAGCACCGATATTATTCACGTCTCCCAAACAGACGGGTGTGTCACGCGGTTCTAATCAACCAGATATTGTATTTGGCCAAGACAAACCGGGTCCCTAAGACACGAGATTACCCTAATCTACTCACGGAGATACCACCGTTTCCCACCCGATATGGCGAAGATATCGCCTTAACACCTCTATCGGCCAACTCTCCCTTTCGTCCTTGCTGTAGACAGTGTGGCCTTCATTTGTCTTTGTGTTTGCAGATCAGTGTCCTCATATTTCCTTGTACATCATTTCGGATTTAGGCAAAGGCAACCAAAATGCCCCTTTTAAAATAGTGCGAAGCAAAATTTCGATTTTAATGAAAAGAACTTTTGTAGAAGTTTAATTGAATTAAAACTAGAATAAATAAATAAATAAATAAATAAATGGTTATAAAACATGGTGCGAGTCTAAGTCTGGTACTCGGTAGAATTATGTTCTCTAGAAAATAGTAAATGTAATTTAAAGAAGACTGGGCAATATACATGTATGTTCGGGTCAAAATTCCGTTTGCAATTTAGTTTAGCTACTAGTCCCACTTTGTCAATGTCACAATGACCACTCGGCTGTTTTTGACCAGTTTAGGGTAGGGGGTGGGGCTTCTTGTCGGCCTCTGGAACTTTTTCTGATACACGTACATGTACGAAACCAAAACTGGCTTCAATTTATAGTTTATGCTGTAAGTCCAATGGTGGATTTTTAAGCAATGCATTTTTTAAAAACAATTCCGTAAATGTGTGTTATGACAGATCTTTATTTGATTGTTCGTTTATCTATTTCTACTAATATCATACTAGCACGTACTGATTTATTTAATCATTTATCTAAAATTCATTGATGACATTAAAAAAAAAAAAAAGCAAAATTTAAAATTTTACACAGACCAACAGACGAATATCAATACGTTATATTAGAAAATCTAAGACAAGGGCTATATCACGAAATGTTTGCGGTTGTATTGTTACATAATTGTGGGGAGAGGAACCCTGAGTTTAAGACTACCAATATGAGGATTTTCCATTTTTCCAGCAAGTCCTATTCAATATGGCACTAGCGTGGCCATGGTGACGGCAGATGTGGTTTTTCATTGGACAGTGAAACTCCGGGTGTGGCACAGCTGACATCCCTCTGAACAGATAAATGGCCGATTTCTGGCTAATTATACGTTCCACTTACTGTATCTTTGGAACAAAAGATAGAATTACGGATTAGGGCATTCTTTCTTATTCATTCGCTGATTACGTTTATCACTGTTAACCGCAATTACCACAATCAGTCATGTTTTCAGAGGTAATTTTCTCTGAATATGAAGTTAGAAAATTTATATGTTAGAGTAAGCAGGGGCATGCGCTTGGTCCCTATTGAAAGCCCCATTCACCTTTCTTGATTGGCACCCCCTTCCCACAACAGATGCACACACCTCCCTCTAACTGCTGCTAACCACTAGTAAGTGTAAGTCACCTCAAACAGCGTCCATGGAACAGGCCCAGTTTACACAAAGATACCACAGGTGAAGGTCTGAGAGATTCAAATAAGATAAAGGAACTGTCGACACAGGTGCATTTCACAAATTGCAGACAACATGGATTCTTATGCCGCATTTATACTGTTTTTCATATTTCTGCATCTCGGAAAGACAGGTAGTTTGATGCTATTTATTTTTTAAATAAGTATGTACAAATGGGACATAATTTTGATGAGTTATATTTAGTGTTTTGCGTGCATTAACTTATTTAATTTTACTTAATTTAACTTAATTAATTTTGAACGGTACATATACATTATGTACGTTACATTGTATACTAATTTCTCACTTTTTTAGCTTCTAATAATCTCAATTCTTAATAAGCTGTTTTTCCCTTTCAACTTGCTTAGATTTTTTATTGCAGCACGATTTTATAATGCTTTTGCGCTGTCTTATTCTCCCAGAACTAATCTGTGATGACTCTATGGTGACACTTCCCAACGGTTTGTGTTTACAACTCCACAAAGTCAGCACAACATGGACAAAGGCAAGGGTGGCGTGTCAGAAACAAAATGGTTCCTTGGTGGCAATCTCCAATAACACGGTGGACTCTTTCATACGGAAATATCTCAATGGAAGTAAAGTAACGGCAGATGTATGGTTAGGGGCAAAAACTCGGAAGAGATGGTTTTGGAAAGACGGTGAGTGATAAGTTCAGAGGTTGGATATATTTATTTATTTATTTATTTATTTATTTAATATATGAATAGTGTGTATGTGAATCTATCTATGTACTTTTCTAATATTTCATTATTATTCTAACTCGCGTTGTGAAGGAAAAATAATTGATTATTCCCTTAATTCATTTAACCGAAAAAAAAACAAGAGATAACAAATTACATCTGACGGTTTGAGACATTTTATTGAAATATTTGAACAAGAATTGCGAACAAACTACATCTAACGCCTGGGGCCTCTTTTCCCAGAACTTATAAGTACGAACTAAGCTGATTTTACGAAGCCAAAACATATCTAGATTTTTATGGGCCTCTATAGGACCCCCCCTCACCCGCTTTAGATTGACTTGTTATAAAATATTTTCCCTCATTTTCAGACGATTCAGAATTAACGTGGTTTGCCTGGGGGTTGGGAGAGCCAAACGATGATAACAGTGCAGAAGACTATGTGATGCTGTGGCAGAGAGCCGACTATTTATGGAATGATCAACACGGCGACACTAAAGAAAATCACTTAGTCATTTCCAAATTTATATGCGAAGACAGTAAGAATTTTTCAAATTATAGTCATCAAGTTACGTAGATGGTCTGAAATTTTCCGCTTGTTTACTACTATAATTAATTAAACCTGAATTTTAGATCAAATAACACTGGTCTTTATTTTTTAAAGTTTTAACGTGATATCTAAATATGCTGCAAAAACCAAATCTAAAAAATCTAAATAAGTGTGTACTTGTGAATATTTTAATCACATTCCAGCAAATCGGCCCTGCTCCCAAAAAGAAGAATGCGCAGATAAAGGGCATGGTGTTTCAAGGTGTGTCTACCACAACGCAACCTGCTTTTACCTGGAGGGCCACTACGGAATCGGGACCAATACCAGCCACGCAAACCAAGTAGGTACAACATGGTCGGGTGCAGATGCAAGCTGTAAGGGTAAAAAAAAAAGACTAGCACACATAGAAAACTGGTCGACGCTGAATGCTTTACGACAACGCATTAGGGAGGATTACAATTTGGCGGGTAATTACTGGATTGGTGCAGTATGGGATAGAGAGCAAGGCGCCAAGTGGACCTGGGAAAATGGTATCTTTTTACTTTCTATGGTGATAGTTTACATTTATTACCTCAACTCCCCCCCCCCAACTCGCTTTTTCTTTCCTTTTACTTGGAATACTCTTCTTATTGAGTATAAAAATTGAGAACTCTTCCAAAGTCTTGCATGGCATTTTGCGGTAAGGCGAGACAATATTGGTAAGTTGATTAACGAGTGGCAATATACTGTATGGAAACAGGGTCGAGGTGGACGAAAATTATTTTTGTTTTTGTATGTCAGGGCTGCGATGTTTCAGAGCAAAAAATGAAAAATAAATAAATAAAACAAAGACGATATTAAGGCTTTTCCTGGGATCAGTTGCAATGCTCCACTTATCAAACCAATAGCTAGTGCATTGGCCATTAAAAACAGGTGCGGAAATACTGATTTTCTCAAAATTGTGGTCTGTCCCACTCGTTAACCTAATTATCAAATTTATCTTGCCTGAAACACGCATAAAGTATATCGTATAGTGCAAAAATACGATTATTCGAAAAAACCCTCAGAAGACACTTAATGGAAACTACATGATTAAACCATGAGCTTTTCAAATAATTTTCCATCAAAATGCAAACGTGCTTAGTTTACAGCATCGAGTTAATATATATGGTTTCAACCTTTTAAACCACATATGTAGTGTTTTAATTTTTTTTAAGGGGAAGAAGTTAAGTATAGTAACTGGAACATCAAGCCTGTAGAGCAATCCAATGTCGTTAAAGCTGCCAAACTTAGCGCAGGGTTTGGATACAAATGGGACGCTGAAAACACAAACGCTGAAAACTATTACCTGTGTCAGTACGGTAGGTAACCAAAATGAATTCCATTCATCATAAGTGTATACAGAAAACAATTTACTTGATATGTGTTTTAAATGTTTCAATAAATTTCTGCAGCAGGCGAAAGAATTCAACGTGAGTTGTTATTGAGAGAGAGTTGCTCTTGTTTTATAGCAGATGTTTATATGTGCATATACCTTGCTCGTTGTCACTGCCATGCCCTTACTGTCTCACGTTAAATAGCGTCAATACCAATTTACGTGTCAGTTATGTTACAGAACCAAGCATTGTGGTCACTACAACACCGGATTCCCAAACAACCAAAGGTTTATCGACTTTACAAACGACAACAACCAAGAGAAATCCAACCACCGTCCTGTCCAGCGGAGTGTCTTCCACAGAAGAGCCTCAAACTGAGTCAAATCAGGTCGAGGCAATACGAACAACTAACGCGGAGCTTGATTTGACAACTGCCTTACTGAAAGATTTACTGTCCACGGCAACTCGTAAGTGTAACGTTTGAAGTCATGTGCAGCACTTTGTAAAACAGAATTTCATGTAGCTTTATGAAAAGGTAATCAAATGTTGAGTTTAAAAGTTAATTAAAAGATTGATTACTTTGCAAAAATTTAAAAAAACTAAAATACTGCTATTCAATAACACATGTACTTTTGCAGACATTGTAGTTGTAAAACCACCCAAAACAAAAGGACTTTTCAATGTTTTGATATTTTATGTGTTATTCAATCATACATTGACTCAGATATCATCCCCCTTTTAACGTGTTTTACCGTTACTTTACTGAAAATGCACACATTTTATATCTACTTTCCTCTAGCGGAACCCATTAGCAATGAGATCGCGGTGCTCGAAGATTTCTCTGCTTTGGAAGAAAATCAATATCAAAGTGACCATGGTGGGTATAGTATTTGTTTAATGAATGGATAATAAGAAAACATCTGAACAAATAAATTATCAGAATTAACGTGGTCTCCATTTATGTTGGCATTATTTTTTCGTACTGATTTATTTCAGGTTGGGGGCTAGCCGCGGCTATTGGAATCCCCGTCCTATTTGCAGCAATTGTGCTCACAGTGTTTTCAATCATTTACACAAAACGCAAGTAGGTACCGCGGGTATAGTATTTTATGATTAAATAAAAGTGACATGAATTTATGAATTAATTTTATATATATCTGTATATCTGTGAAGTATTTGCTGATTTGCATCAGCTTTGATAAACCACTGATCAACGAAACACCGTGTTTTGATTTTCATGCGGGAACTTAAATATAATATAATATAATATAATATAATATAATATAATATAATATAATAATATAATGTTGTAGATTTCTTGACTTGAATTTTAGTTTGTTTAATTGAAAAAAGCAGAAAGAGAACGTTAATACTTGGCCAATTGGGTCACGTGACACACAGTATAATGGCAACGGTAAAAGTATCGAAATACTGACGTGCGTTTCAGGATGCACCCACTACGTGCGCGTCTTCTTGGGGACCTTTTCACTACGGTAGAGAACCCGCTGTACAAGGCGGGGCTGGAGGACAACCCCAACCCGACCATAGACAAACTGAAGTCTTACAAAGGTAAGAAGGACCAGTAAACGATGTTGATTTCAAAATGTAAATGTTAATGTTGGAATTGAAAAAATAAAATGGAAACCATTTCTTTCGAGTATTGTCTTTTATCAGACTGGCATTTTTTGATTTTTAAGTACCATTTTTGTTCTAAGACAAATATAAGAATGTGTCTTTACCAAATAGAATGTGAAAAAGTCACAATTAAATGTTTCAAATACAGTCTTTAGAACTGTTATATACATTCACATTTCTCTCAACACTCACATATACTGGTATGTATGCATTAAACCCCCTTCATTGCAATACCTGGTTCACACCGATATAGAGCTATTTTGATATATTCATGTCTCTAAATAAAACACCTCGGCATGGTGACAGTAATAACAACCTTACATCATCATTGCAGGACGGAGACCTTTTGCCCGAGATTATGATCACAGCAATGTCTATCAAGACCACAGAATAGATACCGTATCGGAATCTTGCACAGATCCGAGCCCCGTTCCGCTAAGCAACGAGATAGACAGTATCTATGACACCATTGAGAGCTGTACACAAGACACTATGTCGCCGATTTTCTCTGAGACCACTTGCACTGGTCAAAACCAGCCGATTGACAATCAGCGCCATCTATTTGGAAGTGTTGAAACTAGTGGAGGTGGCGGCGATGTTCACTGAGCGTATTCTAGCCTGACGCCTTCTTCAGATCGGAGCTGGCTACCGTCTTTTGCAGAAACTGATAGTTGAACATAAAGACTAACAGTTCATTGTCACGAAACACGTTATTGAAATGACGATAATTTGAATATAATGATAAAACCAGATTTAAATGTCTGTACCTGTACGTCCGTCCAAAATCAAGGCGACTAACTTATTGTTTGCTTTTATTTAAGGTTTTATTCAATAAGAAAATTCATTAAATATTTCATCGTGATACGCCTCTTAAAACAATTGTCCATGTCGTTCTTTCCTTTTTTAGCTGTTTATTAAAAAAATTAACCTGTTAATAAACCAAAGACAAAAATAATCTCATGATCTTTATATCGATATATCTGAATGCAAAGATTCGTTCGTCTCGAACATATCACATCGTGTCAACATGTCTCTTGTGTTTGTCATCTGCAATCTACTCTACAGAAAGTATTGGTTCTACGGGATAGCTGTATGAAAGTCCAATAAAGCTGTCATAATAATCTCCAAAATAAACCTTCCCTCAAAATTAGGTGGAGATATATTTTATTTTTAGCCCCCAGATAAACCTACCGAAAACAACAAACACTTGGTTACGTGGCCATCTTGGCTAAAGTTCTGACAGTGTAGCAGAGCTCTTATCGAATCTTTTTGCTATACTTATACACTGAAGATAGTCTAAGACACCATTTCTTATCCCATGCGGTGAGGTTGGTGAGCGCTGAAAATGATGTTCTGGAATCAGACGCTACTGTTTGCGTTAACAACCCTGGTTACAGTTAGTATGTTGAGTAATTTGTTTCATTATTTCAGATAGCTGCAAATGCTTTTATTTATTATTTCTGTCGCAAGTTTTCCCTTAGACGTTTTTGCTTTGTTGTTAATTTTACTTTTGATCATATAGTTACTTAAAAGGTGTTCACAACAATGCCATGAAAACAGATTGAAATGACCGTGTCATTAGGTTTTAGTCCATTAAAATTTGACATTTAAGGACTAACAGTAGTTAGTTAGTTAGTTAAATTTATTCCCACATTTAATCAAAAGTATAAAATTACACGAGTAAAGCATTATTATATACGGGTTTGGCCATTCTTTTTTCTTTAATATTTGGTTAAACAAATTCTTATATATCTGCATACGTCATAAACAGAGCCATTGAAAACCGTTGAAAGTTTGTAAAGTCTATAGTGGGTAACCATATATACCTTTCTATAATTATTACGCATATAACAAATATGGCAATGTTGAATTCTACCAGGCGGTCAGCTTTGTCAGGGACCAGATGCAGTTTATTTCAACTCCAAGTGTCTTCAACTGTTTAAAGAACAGAAGTCTTGGACGGACGCTGGGAATGATTGCAAGTCTAGAAATGGAACATTGGCCGTAATAGACAGCAAAAAATCAGATGACTTCGTCAGGGAACGCTATTTAAAGAGAAAGGGACTTAATTTCGACATATGGATCGGCGCCTCGGCTACAAAAAGATGGCGCTGGGACGACGGTAAGTTGTGCTATTGTTTTAAATAGATTTTTGTAACAGCATCTGTAACAGCCATCGTGGAAAACAATTTTACATACCGTGTATCTGTACTTTAATTCCAATAAGTCATGTTTTAGTCCAGGTGCATGCATTTATAACAAAAAAGATGCAATGCACTAAAAACCAATTGCAGTTCTGAACGTCAAAGCGTGCATTCATAAACATTTGACTCTCTGGTATCACTTCGACCAATTTCACAATACACTCCAGCCCTTCTCTTGGACAAGTAACTGGTTTTGCTGATTTTTATTTAGATCACTAAGCTAGGATCCCGCTGTTCTGTAATTCATATTTCACAAGACATTGTTAAAATGGAAACACTACAGAGATTATCATACAATACATTTTGCATCAAATGATAGTATTATACATGTATTTTATGAGGATCACTAGAAACCGCCATCCATATATAGATGCTTCAATGTCTATTTCAGACGGGCAGCCCCTCCGCTGGGCGGCGTGGGGGCCCGGAGAGCCCAATTTCAACGGCGGAAATGAAGATCGTGTCATGCTGTGGAGAGGCTTTGATTATAAGTGGAACGACGAAGCCAAAACAACAACTCATCTTTACAGACCTGACGAAAGTCACGAGGAAAGATCAAACGCTATTTGCGAATTTAGTACGTATACTGTGCAATCATAACGGCACTCATAAGATTAGTCACTATTTATTAATTTTATCGTTCATTTAATTGATGTTGTTGTTGTTGCATTTGATTATAGATTTTAGTTGACGTAACAGTGATAAACGTCCGACAATTTTCTATTATTCGGCAACCGTACTATATTTTTAAAGCCTGCTGCAGAGCCGCAATTTACACTATGAAACCGGTTGCGGTCAGTGGAAAACGCTGCGCTATTAGTAGGGCCACTTTTGCAACTGAACGCATTTTGCAACCGAAGCGCATTTTGCAACTAAATAAAAGCTTGAATCACACATTTTGCAAACATTTTTTTCTAAGTCACTCACAAGGAATGGAGTACATGTATAGAGGTAAATTTGGGACGTTGAAGGGGTTGCCTCAACTTGAAAGGCTGAATATGGATAGGCTGCCCCTGGGGCGGACGGAAATATGTAGTTATTTTCTCATTGTTAATTCCTTAAACGATCATAGTTAGGAACGTGTAACGTCGGGAATTGATTAATATATCATTAGGGGTGTGCATGGGTCCTTCGTTTTTTTTTGTTTTTTTTGTGACTTGGTCGCGGGGGTGGTCGATTCTATTTTTTTTTTCATCGTGATTTCTTTCATCCCCTCCTTGAACATTACCGTAAAGAACATGTAACGTTGGTGATTTATAGCCCTGACATTAGGGATGTGGAAGGGCACTTTGGACATTAATTGTAATTGGGGATGTGGCCACCCTGGGGTGGTTGGTTCTGTATATTTCAACTTCGTTATTTCTGCTTCATACCCTTAGACCATTTTACTGTAGTTTGAAGCATGAGACGATAAGGATTGATGAAACTGTCATTAGTGATGTGCATGGACACATCAGAATTTTAGTGTGACTTGGGCGTGGCTGTACCTGGGGTGGCTGATTCTTATTATTATATCATAATTTCTGCTATCTGTTGAGAACTTTGGCGGACGGAAATATATAGTAATTTTCTCATTGTTAATTCCTTAAACGATCATAGTTAGGAACGTGTAACGTCGGGAATTGATACATCTATCATTAGGGATGTGCATGGGTCTTTGGTATTTTTTAGTGATTTGGTCTTGGGGGTGGTCGATTCCAGGGGCGGATCCAGGATTATTTGAACGGGGGTCCGGTGATGCCAAGCCGACCCCCTCCCTTGGCCTGGGGTTCGGGGCCCGCTGGCGAGACAGCCCTCTCTTTATTCCAAATATACCTCTATACTACTTCAAACAGCGTGAGTGGCTTAGAAAAACTGGTTGTAAAATGCGCTTGGTTGCAGAATGCGCTCTACACTCTTCCAATAAGTTTTAATTTATTGTTAAAACAATTCAGCAGAGAATGCTACCGGCTTTATCTACACACAGCCACCATTATTTATTATTTAGTGAATTGTTAAGAGCATTTTTCCAATATCCATTTCGATGACTTAAACCTTTACTGAATGTGTCAACTGAAGCACCTGTCATGGTTAATGTCCCTGGAGCTGGACCATGCACGATGCTAGTGGCTTTTATTTATTCATTTTACTAAAATTTTTGTTTTTCGTGGCGTTGAAATGAAAGATCTGAAAAAGAATCTATATTTTGCAAACCACCAAAGATATAGCGTGACACATATTCGATTATAATGTTTTGTTATTTGGGTGTATTCGTGATATGTTTTTGCGATACTTAAAATTATATTTCATGCATTTACTCTTACAAAAAGATTGCGTTATATTACAGCAAATGTTCATAGCTGTTCTGGAGTAATTAACTGTGGATCCGGCATCTTTCACAATGAGTCATGTTTTTGTCTGGAGGTTCACCCTGGCTCAAGAGGCATAGATGGATATACATGGATAGAGGCAAACAGCCTATGTCTAAACAAAGGAGCAAGGATGGCACATATCGAAAACAGGTCCACACAGAATGTTATAGTCAGCCATATTAAAGCAGAAAGCGTGAGGTACAAGTGGCGTTACGCTGGAAACTACTGGATTGGCGCAGTTTGGGACATAGCAGAACCTTACACATGGGTTTGGGAAAATGGTAAATCTAAATTATTTGATTACAGTACCTATAAAGGGGCTGAGTGAGAGTCATAAGAATCTTAGATTGGTAGTGGTAGGAGTCCGATGCTGACGACGAGGCACGCAGTTTATGCACTTTAGCGGAACAGTAGATTCCAAATAAGTGTTACAGTATTTTTGAGGGTAAGTGCATAAACAGCTGTCCTTTGCTTGTTATTTTTCGGCATCTGGGTACTTGTCCTCAGCCAGTCGGTATGAAACACTGTGGCGTCATGCGTATCTCGATTACTTGGTGTCGTATTACTTTGTGATCCCATGTTGAAAGAAAAAAATTCCATACAAGAACATTTCCCCCAAACCTAATGGTGATATTGCTTCGTTACGCATCTGATGTATCATTTATGTGATTTTATTTTCCTCTGTGTCTCTTTTCCCTGCAGGAAAGCAGTTGGATTATTTCCACTGGGATTCACATGGAACCCAACGAGCAAATGCCCGCGAAGCCATCAAGCTTGGCTGGTCAAGAGAATTTAGATGGGCCACCGGGGTTGCCACAGAAACGAACTTTTACATGTGTCAGTCTGGTAGGGAGCGGATATGTAATTGCCAGAAATACCCGTTTTGCTATAATTTTGAGTCTCTTCGTACAGATGTATAGCTGAAAGATATAATAATAGTTCAATATTACTTATAAGGATATTGAACTTAATGTCATGCAGTACATGTACTAGTGCATTTGTACAGAAAAAATTGAGATATATGTCCCAATCAAAGCACTGGTTTATATTCACTAGGTCCCAGATGCCCAGAGATCCACCCAGAGTACAGTAAACTGCTGAGATCAGACATGATGAGTTCTAGTTATGTCTGTGAAGACGGGTACCACATGAACGGAGATGGTAGCTTTTCCACAGTTTGTCTTCCAAGTGGAAAGTGGAATATCACAGGCGGGTGCTCAAGTAAGTCGGTCCATATGAAGCCATTGTGAGCAACCGATTGGGCCTTAATTTGACATGGTCTTTTACATAACGTACGTTTCCAATACGTGACCCACTGGGCCACAAGGTACATGTATCTTTGTACACGAGGATTGTTTCTATATTTACAGAAATCGATTTTAAAATGACTCACATCTCCTGGGTTGACAACCCCTCACATCACCAATACACGTATTGTGTCACTAAGATTCTGTCATCTTCGTCTTGAAGGCAAATGCAGATGTCAAAAATGTTTAGTTCTTTAAAAAGTACAAATTACACTATGTATATGGTATTGTTTTGATTATTTTTTAAATGTGGTATTAATTAAAACATCCACAAAAATAATGAATTATGAAATGCTTTCATATTCACAGATATAGACGAGTGTACCCTGGGCACCCACAACTGCAGTCAACACGCAAAGTGTACAGATTTACCCGGTAGTTTTAGCTGCTCTTGTAATTCAGGCTACATCGGTGACGGCTATAACTGTAATGATATTGATGAATGCCAAACAACCAACAACTGCAGCTCTGCAGCTAGCTGTACCAATATCAATGGTGGCTATACCTGCTCATGTAATTCTGGCTTCACTGGTGATGGCTACAACTGTAATGACATTGATGAATGCAAAACAACCAACAACTGCAGCACTTCGGCTAGCTGTACCAATACCAATGGTGGCTATACCTGCTCTTGTAATTCTGGCTACACCGGTGATGGCTACAGCTGTTATGATATTGATGAATGCAAAACAACCAACAACTGCAGCTCCTCAGCCAGCTGTACCAATACCTATGGTGGCTATACCTGCTCTTGTAATTCTGGCTACACTGGTGATGGCTACAACTGTTATGATATTGATGAATGCAAAACAACCAACAACTGCAGCTCCTCAGCTAGCTGTACCAATACCAATGGTGGCTATACCTGCTCTTGTAATTCTGGCTACACTGGTGATGGCTACAACTGTAATGATATTGATGAATGCAAAACAACCAACAACTGCAGCTCCTCAGCTAGCTGTACCAATACCAATGGTGGCTTTACCTGCTCTTGTATTTCTGGCTACACTGGTGACGGGTACACCTGTTCTAGTCCTACAAAAGGTAAGCTATAGCAACTTAAAGTGATTGATTATTATATTAACTGGCATCTTTACTTTCTGAACAGTCAGATTTATTTATTCATTTATTGTTTCAACAGGCCTAACCAGCAAATTTCATCTCAGCAAATATGTTGAATTTATGTCAAAAACAGAGATGATGCTTTAATAGTTTGTAGACAACACGCCGTATTTGTCACTGTTATTGTTTTTGTCTGTTAATTACCTTTATAATTTAATATTTTCATAAATTCCTAATCGTAATGCGTAATCATATTTCTTTTTTGCAAGGCCATATTATTATGTTCATAAATTAAAAAAAGCCACTCGGATATGTTACAAACCTGCGGTGCTACTGGCACATCAGAGCACCAGGCAAACCTTAATACCATGTCAGATAGAAGAAAGAGAACTTAATCCCACAACAGGAGCATTATTATATATTTAATCATATATTGTTTCAACAGGCCTAACCAGCAAAGTTAATCTCAGCAGATATGTTGTATGTTGTCTCAAAAACAGAGATAATGCTTTTATAGTTTGTAGATATGTTACTGTTTTTTTGTTTATTCGTTACTTTTATAATTATATTTTCATGCTTCATCATATTTCTCATTTGTAATGCATATAATAATGTTCATAAATTTAAAAAAAGCCACTCGGATATGTTACAAACCTGCGTTGCTACTTGCACATCAGAGCACCAGGTAAACCTTAACACCATGTCAGATTTAATCCTACGAGAGGGATTTCAGGGAAAGTGGAAACACACGTTTACCTGGTAAAGGAAAAGGTAGCTACGTAAGTTATTACTCGTGATTTGTGTATCTTACTATATATGTTGGAATATATTTAGAACATGTTCACAATACTAACTTTTGTCTAAAAACTATTTAAGCTAAAGGTATACACTATTAAATTGTCATCTTTTCTTTCCCTTATTTTTCGATGTTTAGAGACGTAATTAAACTCACGTATATATGAAGTAAGAATATGGAGTATAGCGTTATCATCCTGCACCCATTTTGGGATCCGAAAAGCATTTACTAATTGACTTTTTACCCCAGTTATAAAATCATGTCAAATTTTTACAAGAAGACATCGTGCTAAAAACAAACAGATAAGATGGCCAAAAGATATAAAACAATAGGCTTTATCTTGATTGTATCTTTTCCGGATAAATGTGACTGGTTTTGCGTATGTGTGTATGTATGTGTGGGCTGACATGAAGAGGAAACGGTGAAATAACTTTACGCCAAACTAGATTCTCTATTCTCTAATGATAAATCTGCCATGCACTGTCACGTTCGGTGTATCGCTTTCCATGTATTGTTTGTCCTATGGACTACAGGTATACATTTTTAATTTTTTTTTGTTCTTTCAAGAGAAATTTCTCAAATTTCTTTATTTTTCTTGTAAACTGTTTAGTAATATTTGAATTTGGATAGTGAAGACGTATAATATATGAATCATGACATTTAACGATTTACCAAAAGTCTGCTTTATGAATACAGGTACAGAGCACACGAGTGGTGAAAATTCATGCTTTATAAAATAATGTTTTGACCAAATATATTTCGAGGAAAAGAATGAAAAAAAAGGCAAGGAAAAATGTAAGTAAATGTCAACATAAATACTTTGTTTAGGACAAGAAACCTGTGAGAGGAAAAATTCCGTGTACTACAATCACAGATGTTTCGAGGTAATTCACGAACATCAATCTTGGTCAAAAGCGAGGTTCTACTGTGAAAACCAAGGAGGGCACTTGGCCGCCATTGACGACAAGGACACAGACGACTTTATGAAACAGATGCTGTTAAAGGGGGTGCATTGTGACGTCTGGATCGGCGCCTTATCAAGAAAGCGCTGGTTCTGGGCGGACAGTAAGTTCTGTTTTATCATTAAGATCTGTTATTTTCGTCATTTGGCTTAGGGAAAGCCTCTAGGGCATGTCTTTCCGTTTAATGTTTTTTTTTGTTTGTTTGTTTTTCAACATGACACTCCCATCTTTTCTAAAGTCAAATGCTGAAGATTTTTGTCATTTTGTCCGCTTGCTTTTCCCTCCATAAAGCATTATTGTGTATGCCAAAAGTGGTTATTTATGAATTCGATGTTATCCATCTGCCCGAAGTAATGGGATGGGACGTATATATTAAGCGTCGGGCAGGTAAAATGCGTTTTCAAGAGGGAAATGTAGTTTTTATTTAGGTTAATAGTCTGTTGCCCATTGTTTTCATTTTTGGACTACTGGTTAGTAAATATTGATTCGCAACAAAGTTTTTTCATGTCTATCAACCCTAGTGATGAGCTGTATAAAAAGCCTAAGCTGCTCACTGACATATAATTTGGTTGATACTTGCACAGCTAATAGAGAAATTGGGTGGACGTCCTGGGCCGTCCACGAGCCGAATGACGCCGGCGGGCAGGAGGATAGGGTGGCCTTGTGGAAGGACTTTAACTACGAGTGGAACGACGAGAGAGCAGATACCACGTACCTCCACAGATGGGACGCTGACGGAAGAGAAGTCCATGGAATTAAATCTAACGCTGTTTGCGAATACGGTAAAGAAGGATTATTTAATGAAATCAATTTTGCATTGAAAGTATTTTTCATTTATCGAATTCGAAAGCATATTTCGTTTGCAATGGAAAATTCAGTAAATTGATATTTGAAGTATACTCAAGACCTTTATGGAACTGAACAGTTATCAAGGATATGGCAAGAAGAGGGAGAACAGAGAAACTAATGACGGAAGTAGTTTGACCATTGATAATGATACAGTGGATTTGAAGCATTGAGACTTTCCTCTCAGAGAGACACTTTTAAAATATTGAATGATAGTTCGGCTTCATTATGTTTATGTTGTAAGCGTGAAAGATATACACATCATTCAATAACCAAATGTTATAACACTTACACTTATTTATATTTTAGAAGGGCAAACGTGCTCGCCTACCAGTCCAAAGACGTGTGTGTACATTGCAGACGTTGGTTCGTGTTATTGTCTGAATGCAGATCTCTCAGATGACCGTAAGGGGTACACGTGGGGCCAGGCTAATACCATGTGCACCAGTACAGGGGCGCGGCTCGCACATGTTGACAACCGTGCAACTATGGACGCTTTGATCCGACAGATCCAAATGGTGTCCCACGAACAGTGGCAGTTCCGTGGAAACTACTGGATTGGCGCCGTGTGGAACAGAACAGCCCCCTTTAAATGGATTTGGGAAACTGGTAAGTTGAAAGTTATGGTTCAGCAGATAAATGGAGTTAGAATTGTTGTTATCATCTCACTCCGCCAATAGGTTGAAATGTATGTAGACGCCTGAAACATACTTTCATATGTGCAGAACTGAAAGAGACATATTCCATTGCAATTGGTATTTTTTGATAAAATGGTTTAATTAATCTTGTATTTATTTTATCTAAGGAGGAAAAGTTAACTACAGCAACTGGCTTATTTCGCCGCAAATGAACCCTTCAATCATCCAGGCTGCGAAATTAGCGTTTAAACAGGACTTCATGTGGATGTCCGAAAGCATAACTTCTCTGCACCACTTCATTTGCCAGTTCGGTATGGTTTAAGACAGTGGTACTTAAGATACAAACATTCTCTTCGCTTGTTTTGTTTTTTTCACAGCACGTCTTAGTTAAACACATTTTATTTTTTAATGATTACCTGTTGAGGGAAAAAACATATTTACACTCGCTTTAAATATCCCCCCTAGTACTGGAATAATCCAAAACGCCTCATTATTGTGACGGAAGTAGGGCTACCCGTTGCTTATTTCTCTCCAGCGGCAGTGGTACTGGAGCCAAGTAGCGGTGCCCCGACACTAAAACCCACAACAGCCCCCATAAACCACGACCCCACCACCGGAGGATCCTTGTCAACGACAGAACAGGATGTCTCAATAGCGACTTCCACGGAGGCCATTAAATTGGACCATACTACTTTGACCAGTGGCATAGTAACTAATCCAGACACCACTTTGACGAGTGACATTGTGGCTGAGCCAGTCAACACTTTGACGAGTGACATAGTCACTAAACCAGCGACTACTATGCCAAGTGACATAGTCACTGAGCCAGACACTACCATAGAAAATGCCATAACGGAACATACGAGAAGCACGTTAATGAGTGATTATTTAAGCACTCGGAACGTCGTGGAACCAAACAAAACCAATGGCTTTGCAACTCCAACTAAAAGTAAGGCATTCAAAACGCAATAACTATAGCAGCCTTTTTCATTCTGAAAGATACTGTGTTAATATTAGGCAAGGCAGTTGATAAAATGTTCTTGGGTGGAATAACGTGATTCTTCAATGTTTTGATTTCGTAAAAATCTTTCTTTTTTAAAGATGGACTGACACCCAGGACGGTGACCATATCCGACAATCCATCCGCACGTGAAAGAAAGCAAAACCGACCTAGTAAGTTTTCAATAAGTACCAGAAGTGATGTAGGCGCAGGCTTATTTCATTAATAGTCAACTTGGTAGATTTTTTTGTATTTTCCTTTATATTCTTGATACGCAAACACTTCAAAAGAAGCAGGACAAAAAAGATATATAACAATGTATCTAGCAGTTGTAAGGGTATATGAAAGTGATGACTCCACTTCATTAGCTTTTTGGGTAATAAGTTCGTCTCGTGTCGTTGGTTTCAGTGTGGGGTCTATTTCTAGCCATATTTATCCCAGTACTGCTGGTTTCCATCGCTTTCACTCTGGCCTGGTTCATATACAAGAAACACAAGTAAGTTACTCGTGGGGAAATGGACTTATTGTCACTAATTATTGTGCTAAATGATAAATACTGCAATGAAACTAGTATTTTGTGTAAACACTGTATATAAATAAGGTGACTATACAATCACATAATTTTAAAACTGTACTGCTTTCTGTTGAGACTGATTGAATTGTACATGTTCCCATTTCTCAGCAATGCTGGGCACAGAAGGCACCTCCTAATGAAAGAAAGCATTTACACCACCGTTCAGAACCCAATGTATAAGACAGGGTTGGCGGATACTCCCACTTCGGGAAACAAAGCCATGGCGTCGTTTAAAGGTAAATACTATAAACGCCATAACCAATAAGCCGACATGACATGCCGTTTTTTTATTGCAATATAATTCTTGTCATAGAAATCGCAGTGTTGCAGGGGGAGGGGGGCATGGGTGATTTCAAACAGGGAAATGACAATATGAAATTGTTATCGACATGTATCGTAAATGGGTAATTGTTTCCTCATTTGAAATTTCCCTTGATAGATTTTCTTATGGGAGTGCTCCTGCCCTGTTAGAGCTGTCCTCCCTCTAACAGTGGGCCATTTTAATTACCACCTCCAGTTCTTAGTTCTTCATTTCTACTGGGCTTGTGCCACTTTTTTATGTACATACATATATACTTCACCTGTCTGAGATATTTACAATACACATTTTAGGAAAGCGTCCTTTCTGCAATCAGCTTGGTGATGACGTACACTACAGAATGGATAGAATAGCTGAAGAAACATCCTTTGATGTCAACCGCTGTCATTCCATCGAAGAAAGAACTGTTGAGATCTACGATATCGTAGATTTTACACAAATCAGAATATAAATGTTCGTTGTGTAAAGAGTGACAATGAAGGTTACGTAACTAAA